CTCATTTTTCAACATCCACCTATGAGTGAGAACATGCAGTTTGATTTTCTGTTCTTATGTCAGTTTGCTGAGAATGATGGTTTCCAGATTCATCCATGTCCCTACAAAGGACACAAACTCATTGTTTTTTTATGGCTGTGTAGTATTCCATGGTGTATATGTGCCACATTTTCCTTGTCCAGTCTATCATCGATGGGCATTTGGATTGGTTCCAGGTCTTTGCAATTGTAAACAGTGCCACTATGAACATATGTGTGCATATGTCTTTATAATAGAATGATTTATAATCCTTTGGGTATGTACCCAGTAATGGAATTGCTGGATCAAATGGAATTTCTATTTCTAGGTCCTTGAAGAAGCACTACACTGTCTTCCACAATGGCTGAACTAGTTTACACTCCCACCAACAGTGTAAAAATGTTCCTGTTTCTCTACATCCTCTCCAGCATCCATTGTTTCCAGATTTTTAATGATCGTCATTCTAACTGGCATGAGATGGTATCTCCATGTGGTTGTGATTTACATTTCCCTAATAATCAGTGATGATGAGCATTTTTTTCATATGTTTGTTGGCCTCATATATGTCTTCTTTTGAAAAGTGTCTGTTCATATCCTTCTCCCACTTTTGGATGGGTTTCTTGTAAATCTGTTTTAGTTCTTTGTAGATTCTGGATATTAGCCCTTTGTCAGATAGGTAGATTGCAAAAATTTTGGTTGCCGGTTCACTCTAATGATTGTTTATTTGGCTGTACAGAAGCTCTGGAGTTTAATTAGGTCCCATTTGTCTATTTTGGCTTTTGTTGCCAATGTTTTTGGTGTTTCAGAAGAAAACCTAGGCAAAACTATTCAGGACATAGGCATAGGCAAGGACTTCATGATGAAACATTTTAAATTAGAGATGCACCTCAGTATAACCTGGGTGCCTTCCAAAATACAGATGGGCCCCACTCCAAGGCCAATTAGATCAGAATCTCCTGAAGTAGGAGTCAAGAATATGCATGGTTTTTGAAGACCCACAGATATTTCTCATTTGCTTGCCTTAATATAAACTACCAGGACAGTGGCAAGATCATTAGCTTTCTAGACTGATAGACCTGGAATGGAATCCCTGTCAAGTCTCTTACCTTTGTGACTCTGGAAAACTCATTAATTCATTGACTCTCCATTTTCACACTTTTAAACATGGAGATACAAACACCTGCTTTGCAGGGTTTTTGTGTAGAGGTGTAGGTAAAACATCTAAAACAGAGTAAATATCTTCAGGGGTCTGATAAGTGGCTTAAATACAAAAGCGTTGGAGATTACCGCTAATGGAAGAATGCAGCCTTGACAAAATGTTTCTTCCAAATTTATTTATTTAAAGAGACAGGGTCTTGCTATGTTGCCCAGGCTGGTGAGTCAAACTCCTGCGTGTAAGTGATCCTCCTGCCTCTGCCTCCTGAGAAGCTGGGACTACAGGTACAAGCCACCACACTGGACTTCAAAGTGTTTTTTGTATGTTTGGTTTTGGTTTTTTTTTTTTTTTTGGAGATACGGTCTCACTTTGTCACCCAAGCTGAAGTACAGTGGCATGATCATGGCTCTGCAGTCTCAGACCCCTGGCCCCAAGCAATCCTCCTGCCTCAGCCTCCCCAGTAAGTGGGACTACAGGAATGCACAACCATACTGTGCTAATTTTTAATTTTTTCTCTTGTAGAGGTAGGGTCTCACTATGTTCTCCTGGCTTCAAGTGATCCTTCTGCCTTGGCGTCCTAAAGTGCTGCTATTTCAGACATGAGCTACTATGCTTGGCTCAAAGTGTATTTTTTTTTAAGTTATTTTTTAAAAACATTGAGCTGGCCTCACAAAATGTATCTGCAGGCATGACATCCAGTTTTAACCCTAACATAATGGTCAATTAAAAAAAACAATTTTCAAGTGCTATATAAAATACAAACTGCTGAGTTATCTGGAAGTATTTTTCTAGCGCTGTGTAAAGTACTGCTGAATGCAGGATTATATATTGATTCAACAAATATTTAATGCCCATTAGGTAATAGCAAGTCCAAACAGAAATACTAAAAGAACTAATTCAAAGCATGTATAGCCAATAGGAAGAATAGATAAATTAAAATATGTCCTTTATAAACAATACTAATACTACCAAAACTACCTTTCCAATTCTAATTTTGCATTAACATTCTACCCAGGATTTGTGACTATCTGTATTCTTGTACTCCGTTTTAAAAAATGCTGCTTATAACTAGAAATATTTAAAATTTTAAATATTACTTTTGTTTTAGAAACAGTATATATTTAACATAGTAGTTTGTTGTGAAATAACAATGCTTGCTTAATTAATGAATGCTAAGTTTCCTTCCATGTCTAAGATTCTATGATTAGGGGCAGGCACAGTGGCTCATGCCTGTAATCCCAGCACTTTGGGAGACCAAAGCGGGTGGATTACCTGAGGTCAGGAGTTCGAGACCAATCTGGCTAACATGGCGAAAACCCGTCTCTACTAAAAATACAAAAATCAGCCAGGTGCGATGGTGCACACCTGTAGTCTCAGCTACTCAGGAGGCTGAGGCAAGAGAATAATTTGAACCTGGGAGTCAGAGGTTGCAGTGAGCTGAGGTCACACCACTGCACTCCAACCTGGGCAACAGAGGGAGATTCCATCTCAAAAAAAAAAAAAAATCTATGATTAGGAAACAAGAAATCTGTGGGATCATCAGTGAGAGGAACCTTTGACCAAAGGACTCATAGCTGTTTTTAGAACTAGAGCATTTCCCAGTGTATTCTGGGCACATTTCCTTTATATGAAATTTGTTTCCCAACCCCAAAGTACAAAACCCGGCAGCTTGCTGACTCAGTTAAAACTGGGCTGCCCTCTGTCATTGTCATGGTCAGATTTTCTGAACTTAACTAAAATCTGAGCAAAATTATTTTATGATGCCTAATGCTAACACTTACTTCAAATCATAACTGCACCACTCATTAGATCTGTGACCAGGGCAGATTATTGCTCTCAGGTTCTAGGTTCCTCATCCTTAGAATGGTGTCAGTAACAGTTGAGTAAGATTTGTCAGGTGGGTTAAATGCGATAAGGTTTGTAAAGCACTTTTATTAGCTTTACAACCTAATAAAGCCCCCGGCATATAGCAATATTCTGTAAATGTTTTCTAGTATTTTGATTATTATTTTTCCTTCCACACAACCAGGGCCATTTTGTCCTTCAGCTCAGGAATCGTTACTGTCTCCATAATTATCCATGTCAGGCATTTTTGCAAGAGGCGTCACTGCTTGCAGAGCCTCACTCACGGCAGCTGTTAAAGATTAAATGTGAACTTGGATCTGACTCAGCCCAAAACCTAAGCACTTTCTATTTCCTCTCAGCCATCACAAGGAGGAGGAAAATACTCTGTGAGCAATCCCGGCATCTTCTTTCATCTCTGTTACATTTTGGGTTTCTCCCTAAAGTTTTTACTTTTTAGGAAGGGCCCTGCAGATACCAACAAAATACACCACATACACACACACCCTTGAAAAATACTCTGAGGTCAGAGGTGGTGGTTCATGCCTGTAATGCCAGCACTTTGGGAGGCTGAGGCGGGTGAATCACTTGAGGTCAGGAGTTCAAGACCATCCTGACTAACATAGGGAAACCCCATCTCTACTAAAAAAAAAAAAAATACAAAAATTATCCAGGCGTGGTGGTGGGCGCCTGTAGTCCCAGGTACTCTGGAGGCTAATGTACGAGAAACACTGGAGCCCGGGAGGCAGAGGTTGCAGTGAGCTGAGATCATGCCATTGTACTCCAGCCTGAGTGACAGAGTAAGACTCGCTCTTAAAAATTAAAAAAGAATGGATGACGGAGATATGGAAGGATGAAGAAAGAATAGAAGAATAGAGGGAGTATCTATTCTGGTCAGATAAGTGGATGTTTTTCACTCCCTGGTCCTTGCGGCAATACTGTCATTTTATCATTTGACCAGACAGAGGCTGAAATTGCTCTTTCGGGAGGAACCTCTGTTTTCTACTTTACCAGGCTTTCTCTCCTGATATTTTCTTGGTAACTGCCTCTAAAAATCTTCGGTTGTCTCCCAAAGCCATGCTTTCACATAGCCAACACCCAGTTTTCTTTCTTCATACAACGTGTCTCTCATCTCCTATTTCTAGTGCTAAGCACAGTATTTGACATGAAGTCCTGTTCTTTTGTTCCCCTTTGACTAATATTTGGCTTATATTATCCAGCATGTTTTTCATTGATATTTTCTTTCCACAAATCCACGGATGCCTGAGTGCCAGGCACCAGACCTGGGCTTGGACCTAGTCTTCGGAACCTTGTGCTTTACATCTAAATTTTATCTACATAACACACAGCTCATCTGCTGCAGATCTTTTTTCCCAGTTTGTCAGCTAGGTGGACTGGAAAGGCAGAAACCCATTTCAAATTGTCCATTTGAGCACTGAGTAAAATTTATTAATTGGTATCATAAAAGTGCGGTTTATTGGGTGGGAGTTCAAATATTTTTTAGAATGAGGAGCTCACATATTGCACAATTGGAAGCGCTGGTGATCGCTAAAAATAAAATGCATATAAGTTTCACATCGGCTACTTGGAATTAGGAGTAGTATATATGACCTTAAGAATACTTTGAGATATTGTCAACCCGACCATCACAATTGATCCAAAAATGTCACATAAAATTACCTTCATTACTAATGCCTTAAACCTTGGCAACGCTTGTTTTTTTTTTTTAAATGAAAACTGAAAATATTGCTTTAGATGGAGGCTACCACCTCTGATATAAATCATGTTTATAATAAATAAAATCCATTTTCTAATGCAAAAATGTGGCTCTATGAGCTGATCAGTTAAAATTTGAATGAATTTAAAGTTACAAACAATGGAAAAGGCCTTAAGTCTGACTCTGGCTTAATACCCCACCTACCACTGTGAGCGCTCATCTGCACTAGCACGTTGGGGTTTATTACGGCTTTCTGTCATCACTTACGTCATATAGGTGAGAAATGTGCTGAGGGGCTCCAGGGAATGATTCCGGAAATACTCAAATTCTCCACATAGTCTTTTCCTCATCTCAGTGTCAATTTTGGAAACAGTAAGAGGATTTGTTTGATTAGCCAAAAAGTTACCATAATCAGTAGTCTGGAGATGAATTTTCAGATCTGAAATTAAATGAAACCCCAAATCAGGTTAAAATTTGAGTGTATACAAATAGCTTTTTCAACATTAGTCAAATTCATGCTAACTTAATGGTACACACATATGTATTATTTTATTAGATTTTGATATAAGGTCTAAATATGATTTAGCAACAAACATTTATGTGAATATGGATAATCCAGCACATCAAAAAATGTGTTTTTTCTTTTGTTTCGGGACAAAGTCTCCCTCTGTAGCCTAGGCAGGAGTGCAATGGTGCGATCTCAGCTCATTGCAACCTCTGCCTCCAGGTTTACGTGATTCTCCTGCCTCAGCTTTCGGAGTAGCTGGGACCACAGGTGCATGCCACCAACAGGGTTTCACCACATTGGCCAGACTGGTCTTGAACTCTTGAATTTAAGTGATCCATCTGCCTTGACCTCCCAAAGTGCTGGGATTACAGGCAGGAGCCACTATGCCTGGCTTGCACAAAATATTTCAATTAAAGAAACCTGGTATTATTTAGCAGGTCTAACGAAAAACCTAACAAACACCTAATCCACAAACAGGTTTTGTTCATTTGGAGATAGCCACCTGGGAAACTGTGGAGGATACTAATGCTCCATCCCAACTTGATGGAAAAGATAAATGTATTAGTGGTAGCTACCATGGGTGTGGGGGCAGGTGGCATGGGCAGCCATCACTGCTCTGTTTCAGTATCCTTTTATTACAGATGAAGAAAATGAAGCTCAGTGGGACTAAACGGTGGCGTTATCTAATGAGACTGAAGTAGGAGATTAGTCCCCTTATTCATATAACCCAGCATAATTTCCACCCGACCATGTCATGCATCCTTTAAATGTCATCCATTTTGGTTGCCAGGCAATTGGCTTGAACTGAATTCCCCCTTCGTGGATTGTCACTTCCTCCTGAACAAGCCATGAGTTTTCCAGCATCCACACTTCAGCAAATCCTGACCCAACACCAATCTAGAATTTCTTCCTGCACCCCTTTGCAGATTAGCTTGTTATAATGTACCCTTCAAGGTCTGGTTGTAACATTAAAATAATAGTTACCTGTGACTGAGTGCTTATTAGGTACCAGGTATTGTACTAAAGTTGCATTATCTCATTTGATATTCAAGGCAATTTTATAAGGTAAAAATGATTTCTATGCCTTTGTACAGATAAGAACACTGAAGCTCAGAGAGGCTAGTAACTCAAGGGCTGGGCACAGTGGCTTACACCTGTAATCCCAGCATTTTGGGAGGCCAAGGCGGGTGGATCATGAGGTCAGAAGTTCGAGACCAGCCTGACCAACATGGTGAAACCTTGTCTCTACTAAAAAATACAAAAATTAGCCAGGCATGGTGGTGATCTCCTGTAATCCCAGCTACTCAAGAGGCTGAGGCAGGAGAATGGCTTGAACATGGGAGGTGGAGGCTGCAGTGAGCCAAGATTGTGCCATTGCACTCCAGCCTGGGTGACAGAGCAAGACTCCATTTCAAAAAACAAAAGAAAACCAACAATAACAAAAAGCTTGTTAAAAATCACATACATTAAAAAATAAAAAAAGATCACGTAGATAAACTGTGATTCAAACCCAGGTATAACTGACTTCAAAGTCACTTAAAACTTTATTTTATTGCCAACCAATGCAATTAGATTATCACTTGCTCTGTAAAGACTTAATTAGCTCAGGCAGAACTATTCAATCTCACTCATCTGAATTTGAAAGTACTTTGATGAAACCTCTAGCGTAACACCTATTGTAAGATGTTATACAGTCTTAGGCATGTTAACCCAAAAGGCAGTTACACTATCTTAGTTATATCTGTGACTCCTTGTGCAGTACCCAACATGTAAGTTTTATTGCATATCCGAGTATCTAAAATGTTCTTGGCAACATCCAGCACACATATGGAGCTTATCGGATCTTTCATTCAAACATTTATTAAGCATCTATTATGTGCTGCCAACTACAGGAGACCCAAAGATAGACCAGACATATTCCTTGTCCCCAAGGAAACTCACTGTTTGGTAAAGAAGGAGGCAGCCACAGATGATTCAAACAATGTGTTAATTCAGTGATAAAGATAAGGTCCTTGATTTATGGGAACACAGAAAATGAGACCCAGCCCAGGAAAGTGTCTTGAAGGAGATGAGCCTTAAAACGCTATGTAAGAGTGGAGGAAGAGGGGAGAAAGAGTAAGAACAGAGGCAGGCATTTGATGACTTAGTACAGATATGGTGTGTGCAGGGAGCTTAAAGCAGTTCACTGTTGCTGAAGCATTGAACGGGAGAGAAAAAAATTTTAAATAGAACTCCCATATGATCTAGCAATCTCACTCTGTGTGTGTGTGTGTGTGTGTGTGTGTGTGTGTGTGTGTTATACACACGCACACACGTATATAATGAAATCAGTATGTTGAAGAGATATCTATACTTCTACATTTATTATAACGTTGCTCACGACAGCTAAGACATAGAATCAACCTAAGTGCCCATCAACAGATGAATAGAGAAGGAAAGGTAGTATAAATATACCATAGAATACTGTTTAGCCTTCAGAAAGAAAGAAATCCTATCATTTGGGACAACTCAGAAGTAGAGAGTAAAGAAGTGGTCCCCAAAGGCCGAGGAGTGGGCCAGGAGTGGTGGCTCGTGCCTGTAATCCCAGCATTTTGGGAGGCAGAGGTGGGAAGATCCCTTGAGCCCAGGGGTGTGAGGCTGCGATAAGCTATGATCATGCCAGTGTACTCCAGCCTGGGCGACAAACCAAAAACCTGTCTCTACATTAAAAAAAAAAAAAAAAGACTTAGTTGGGGGCAGGTGAGAGGGTTAAGGGTTGGAAAGATGTCAAAGGGTACAAATTTCAGTTAGACAGGAGGAATAACTTCAGAGACCTCCTGTACAAAATGGTGACTATAGTAAGTAACAGTGTATTGTATTTTTAAAATCATGTAGAGAGTAGATTTTGTGTTCTCACCACAAAACAATAAGTATGTAAATTAACACATATTAATTCACTTGACTGATAACCTATAGGTCACATTGGGCGGGCTTCCAAATTAACCTGCAGGGGGAGGTCTTACGACGCCTGTCCTTTCCTGTCCTGTCCCAGAGTAAAGAATCTTACCATGAGTCCCTCAAATTGTTGATGTACTGATTAATACATAACCTACTGAAACTGAAAGGGACCTGATTTGTTTCTGAATCATCAAGTTTTGGTGACTGGTTTCTGCATCATGAAGTTTACTAATTGTCTTGCATGTAGACATTTTAGCCTGTATATCATCTGTAGCCAGTGATGATAACCTCTGTATCATGCCCTCCAATGAAAAGAACAACCCTGGTATGAAGAGTCCTCCTCCGATCTTCTACACTTTCCCACAAAAGCCTTCCAACTCGAAGCGGATTCTGGGACACACCCAGCTTTGTTGCTGTGTCTTCCTTGATAGGGCCTCACATTTGGCTTCCAATAAAACTTTATCGAACTATTTCTGCCTCAACAGACTTAATTTTGGTTGACACCATAATTAATGCATATATTAAAACATCATAAGGCTGGAAGTGGTGGCTCATGCCTGTAATTCCAGTACTTTGGGAGGCTGAGGCAGGCTGGTCACTTGAGGTCAGGAGTTTGAGACCAGCCTGGCTAACATGGCAAAATCCTGTCTCTACTAAAAATATAGAAATTAGCTGGGTGTGATAGCTCACGCCTGTAATTCCAGCTACTCAGGAGGCTGAGGCACAAGAATCGCTTCAATCCAGGAGGTAGAGGTTGCAGTGAACTGAGATGGCACCACTGCACTCCAGCCTGTGTAAAGGAGTGAGAGACTCTGTCTCAAAAAATAAAATAAAATAACAAAATAAAATAAAACATCATGTTGTATATGATAAATATATACAATTTTTATGTGTCCATTTTAAAGGAGTGGTACAGAAGGGGAGGTAATAATTGAAGCCAAAGAAAAAAGCAGGACTGTCCTAGGGAGGGTTTGGTGTGCCATGTTTATCCTGAGGTAATAGGAAGCCACTGTGAGCTTATGAATTGATTGCTCTGGTAGCTGGGGGAGGGTGGATTTGCAACTGTGGACAAGGTGGTTCTTGCAGTCTTCCTCAGTGTCTGGAGTAGATTTTGCATCAGAAATGCTGTTTATCTGACTGCAGAATTTATTTGCCCAATTACCTATTTAATTAACTTAATACAATTCTACTTCATTGCCATGCCTTGTTTGGCTTTCACTTTGGCATTTCAGATTTGGATGCAATTTGACAGTTTGAATTCTCAGCACCAAGGAATATTTGCCAACAGAAGTGACACAAATGGTATTTCTTTCAAAACCGTGATATTTTGCTCATGTGACATATGTTTCTTTCAAGCTAAATAACTTCCAACCCTTTCAGCTGCCAGGGACATCCTGAAATTAAACGTCTCAGTGTGTCACACCCCGTAGGAATCTTATAATACTGTGTTCAGTGAAAAAGCAAATGGAATTGAAGGAACCTGCCTTCCCCAGCACTAAAATGATCCAAGGGATGCTTGCGTTCAGTTTCTAAGAGAATCTTAGGGTCTGAAATGTACTCTAGGATGATGAGCCAATAATAACAACAGTGCTCACAGTTTTACAGTTTTCAAAATGAGTCCACTTAATTTTTCCCCTTCATTTCCCTAAATGCTTATCTAAATAGGTATGTGAGTAATAAGACTTTATGGTGAAATAAATTTGGAAGACACAAGCTTCTTTACTGTAGGAATTGAAAGCCTTTACTACATTAAAGTGATTTATTTATTTATTTTTATTGCATTTTAGGTTTTGGGGTACATGTGCAGAACGTGCAAGATAGTTGCATAGGTACACACATGGCAGTGTGTTTTCCTGCCTTCCTCCCCTTCACCCACAATTGGCATTTCTCCCCAGGCTATCCCTCCCCAGTTCCCCCCGCCGCTGTCCCTCCCCTATTCCCCCCAATAGACCCCAGTGTGTAGTACCCCCTTCCCTGTGTCCATGTGTTCTCAT